GACATATAGAGCTGAATATCATCAGCGTAGATGTGGTAGGAGACGTCTGGGAAAGACTGAATGATGCCGGCTAGGGGAAGAATATAGAATGCAAATAGTAGAGGCCCTAGAACTGAACCTTGTGGGACCCCAAATGTTAGAGAGGCAGTATCTGAAGAGAAGGTTTCGGACTTCACTGTGAATGTTCTGTTGGTGAGATAAGAAGAGAGCCAGTCTAGAGCAGAACCTGAAATCCCAGCCAGGGCCTTTAACCTGTTTAGTAGAACGTTGTGGTCTACAGTGTCAAAAGCTGCACTGAGGTCGAGCAGGACCATGACAGAGCATTTCCCTGCATCAGCAGCCATCAGGAGGTTATTATGCACCCTTACTAGAGCAGTCTCAGTTGAGTGCTGCTTCAGAAAGCCAGATTGGAAGGGGTCAGAGATCTTTGACTTAGAAAACCAGGATCTGAGTTGGGTTTCAACAACCTTCTCAAGTACTTTGCTGATGAAAGGTAGCTTAGAAATGGGCCTAAAGTTACTGGTGGAGCTGGCGTCAAGGTTGGGTTTCTTTAAGAGGAGTCACTACTGCATTTTTAAAGTAAGATGGAACACAGCCTTGGCTCAGTGAGCTGTTGATTATAGTCAACAGAGATGGACTGATAGAGGCAAGGGACCCGACTAAAACAGAGGGAGTTAAGATATCTGATGAGCATGATGAGAGTTTCATCTGACTGATTGCTGAGGTTAAGTCATTTAGTGTAATTGGGGAGAAGGAGGTGAAAGACTCGGAGCACTGGGGGGCCTCCCCTCCTGAGGGGGCGAGGGCTGGTGGAATGCTGGATCTCAGATTCAACACCTTGTTTGCAAAAAAGTGGAGAAAGGTGTTACAGTCATCAGCTGAAGATAGCTGAGCCTGCTGCGGAGGAGAAGACACGATGCTGGAGATGGTATCACACAAAACCTTAGGATTATTCTTATTTTGGCATATGAGGTTGCTGAAGAAAGAAGACCTGGCATCTTCTACAGCTTCGTTGTATGACTCGAGAAGTTCTTTAAAATATATGCGATGAACAACCAGACCTGTCCTCTTCCACCGTCTTTTCGCTTTTCTGTAGGAGCGTCTAAGTTCAAGAATCTGGTTGTTCAGCCAGGGTGAACTGGAGGCACTGGAACTGCGGCTGGTTTTGTAAGGGGCGACCTGATCCAGAATTTTGAGGCAGTGATCATTAAATGAGTTGGTAAGGAGCTCTATGTCATCAGAGGAAGTCAAAGAGGGAGGAGAAATTTAAAATGGTAGAACTGTTAATACGTCGTTGCTTAGCAGAGACTGGTAAAATAGATTCAGAATTTAAGTTGATATGAAAAGAAACTGACTTATGGTCACTGAACACAACATCATGTATCTGCAGCTTATCAACAAGAAGTCCGTAGGGAAAGACCAGATCCAGGGTGTGGCCTGCTCTGTGAGTGGGACCAGACACGTGTTGAGAGAAGTTAAAAGAGTTCATCATGTTTAGGAACTCCCTAGTGGAGCTGTTAGATAGATCCTCAGCATGGATGTTGAAATCTCCAACAATGATTATCCTGTCTAGTTTAATAGTTGAAGATAGGAGATCCTGAAAGTCAGACAGGAAGGATGAAGTAGATCCAGGTGGGCGATAGACCAGAATTCCATAAACTGGTAGAACTCGACCAATTTTAATCATGATCATCTCGAATGAGCTGTAGGAGTTTGAGGATATAATTTGGCACGAAAAGTGTTTCTTAAAGATAACAGCTGTTCCTCCACCGCGGCCTGTGGTCCGTGGAGCAGAGAAGAAAGAGCAGTCTTGAGGACAGAGCTCACGGAGATGAGTGGCGTCATTTACGCGCTGCCACGACTCAAAAATCCACAAAAAGTTTTATTTTTTGGTCCGGAACAGATCGTTGAGGATGTGAGACTTGTTGGCGATGGAGCGCGCGTTAATCAACATCATTTTTGCGGAGGAATCTGGCGATGTGTAAGCCGCGGGCTCGATAATGGCGGGCGGCTGGCGGGCTAAGCTACGTAGCGACTCCAGGCTATGCCCGTGGAGGTTCTTTGTCTCCCACGCCTTCAGGTAGCGTCCCGCATCAGGGGCTCCATTTAGCAGCGAGATCAGCCCAACTCCGTTAAGTTTCTGTTGGATCCGCCACAACACAGCCGCGGAGCAGCGATCGGGAAGAGCTTCGCCTCTCAGGATCTTTCGAAGCTGAACGAAGAAGCCGGCTCTCTTCCCCCGTTTCCTCTTCCATGGCCTCCTGGGCAGCGGCAGGCAAACAGGTAACAGAGGGCCGAGACCTGGGTTAACGCCAGTTTCCAGAGGCGGTGGGAAAGCGGGTCCGGTATCGGAGTTCTGGAGGTTGATCATTGCGGACCTGATCGACAACAGTAAGTCTCGATCATATGTTAGTAGGGACTCCGCACCAGATAGAGAAAAAACAATAAAAAACAACAAATAACCAAAACAGAAGTGGCGCTCAGGTCACCAAACAAAGGACAAGAAGCTAGAAGATCACGCCGATGTTTACTAGATAAACCACGTTTTAAGAGAAGTCTTATTCTCACGTGGATTCCTGCTCGTTTACCTCTTTTCCTCCGACATTTTCCCGGGACCAGACAAACATCGCTGGAGGTGCGCAGCTCTGGATCGTCGATTGGTTCCGAGCCGGTACGCCGCTCAGGTAAACAAACCGGATGGTAAATCCTCGGTGCATCTTGGGCGATCGTGAACGAATGGAAGGATAAAAGAGTCTGGCGATCATAGGAGATGGTAGCAGGGACACTAGTGATGAAGATCGCAGACAGGAGCAAGGTGGAAAAGAGGAGGTTAGTGGAGAAAAGTTTGAAAAAGTGGTCGGTGACCACGGCTAAGCCAAGTACAGGCACCATCTTGCCGACCGGAGCACTTAAACGTGGCTTTTAGAAGAAAAGATCAGCCAGTTGGGAATGTTTTCACAGACCTGCTTTCCGTCGCCGGAAGGGTAGCCAGCGGCTGCCACAGCCTGGGGTCCTGGCTCGTGCCGGGGCCTTTTTTAAATTATATGGTGCTGGCTCCCTGGTTGGTCAACGTCGGTCTTGGAAGGGAGTGTGTGACCCACCTCGATTGTGGCTTGACCTTTAGGTTCCTCCAGCTGCACCCAAACGTGGAATGCAGACCACGAGTCCGAATTATCCAAATGAGATTGAATCAGAGAAACTGTTCCAAATTGGGTTTAACTCAATGCGAGGACTCGACCGGACCGCGCCAACTTCCAGTTTCATGTAGAAAGTCAAAACAAAACAAAACAGAGCTCTGAGTTTACTGTAACTTTTGAGAGCTAATGGCTTAACTTTTATGAGCGTCGATTATCTTTTGCTGGGCCCAGGTGGAATAGCCAGCAGAGGTTTGCTTAAGGCATCTTTCTTCTTTGTTCTGCTCCACGAGGTCTGAACTTCTGGTTTTAGAAACTTTCTTTTTGTCACACCCACATGTATTTCGCTTCTTAACTATTTGATGGCACTGTGGCTCTTTCATACAACCTCTGCCTTTCCAACAATGATCACAATTGACCAAAGGTGGTCCAGATGGGGGTCAAAGTATTACTTTAAACAGAGAAGAACTAAATGTATGTCTTTAAACTGGACAGTTCTACCATTAGCATGACTTTTAACTGGAGAAACACAAAATGACAGAGGTTTAGCATAAAAGACAACACAAAACAAACAGTTTAGGTCTGTGGCTGACAAGATTTTAACCTAGAGCACCTTGATTTCTATTTTAAGGGTAAACAACCTAAACACCTTTTTTGATTGTAGATAAACAGGAATGCAAGGTTTATAAAGACTCAAGTCATGAAGCTCCCAGAAGGACATTAAGGGAAGCTTTACGACTTCCCCCATCTTGAGAAAAGGGTTAGTTTGAGAGTTGATGTAAAGCAGACCAGTTTCTGATATTTCTCACGCCTCCTGATTGGCACAGAAGGGAGGCCAGTCAAATTGGTGCAATTTGCGATCCTGGGAGAGAGTCGTTGGAGGTAACCAGAATGCTGAAACTGTAGGCCAGTTTCAAATTCCCCTTTTTGTTTTTCTTCTGCTAAATGTGAGAGGAAAAACTTTGTGAAAATTGTTATGTTCTCCTTCGTGTGAATCCAAACAAAGTTAATCTGAGGATATAAAATGTGGATTTCCGCTACACTACAGATTTAATTTGGTGATTTTCTAAAAAGTTTTTCTTATCTATACCAAATTGGGAGAGTATTCTGTTAAATGGGATGAAGTCCATTCCTTCATATATGTGTTCCAGGTATTAGGATTCCTAACCCAAAGCTAACAGAGTTGTTCCTGCAGTTTTCAGCAAGAAAAACGTGGTAGAGCGTCTCCAAAGTAAATGCACCTCAAGCCTGCTTAACAAAATCAAAACTAGGTAAGCCAACCAAGGATATTGGGCTTTGTTTGTCCACTGCGATGAAAGATCTGCGTGTCCACCGTTGTTGATGGTCCCTTCTCAGGGAGCTGGATATCAACGGGACATTAGCTACATGCTAACCCAAAGCTAACAGAGTATTCCAGGGCGTTTTCAGCAAGAACAATCGCTTGAGCGTCTCCCTCAGAGATCCACCATTGACCAGCATGACTACAGCCTTGCTTCGGAGCCAGCCTGGCTGCCCCGGGAGATGGGAGCAGGCAGCCACCTGCTATTCTAAGGCAGGAGAAAGGAAACGCTGGGTACTGCACAAGTTTCCTATGCAGCCCCACTATCATGTTTGGCCAAGCAGTTAATGACACAACTGGCTGTAAACATGTTTATTTCTGCAGTAAAAATGGCCTTTTTAACATGGGAGTCAATGAGGATTTGCTCAAGTCTGCTGCCAGCCCCTAGCGGATGAGGGTGGAACTGCAGTCTTTGCCACTTCCTTGTTGGCTTCCAATTTGTTACAGAATAATAGGGGCATGGTCCTGATGCAGACGGAGAAGTATAAATTAGGCTTTTGACTCTGTTCTGCTGATGATATTCTCACCTCAGCTCCAGGGTTTCTGCGCTTGGCCTTCTTAATGGCTCGATTCTTCAGCACATCTTCACTTGCGATTGAGAACGTCCCAGCCTAATTGAGGACAGTAGATCAAAGGTCAGTCCATCATTTCTCAGTTCTACACGTCTGAGTCTCTGGTCTCACCTCTTCTCCTTCATCCTCCTGATCCCAATTCCTGTCAGTCAGCTCCTTATCTGCAATCCTCTTTGCCATTCCCTCTGCTGAAAGATAGTAACGCACAGTATTATAGAAGGTATAAGACTTAATCGGTATGATTTTGGCCCAGGGTTTCTCCCAGCGCTTTATAAGCCTGGCGGCCCGCCAGGCTAAGCATCATGCTCTGCCCCCTCCCCGACCCTACCGTGTCCGCTGACACGAACGGTGCAATGAAACTAGAGCCCTCCATCAGCTGATACTGGTGAGAAACAGCAGAACATGTGCAACCCCCCCACCCCATCCCCGCTCTCACGGAGAAGTGCTGCGGGACGGAGCGTGCGACCCCCACCCCTGGAGGAGGGCGCAACATGAACGTGTGCAAACCCCCCCACCCCCACCCTCACGGAGGAGCGCTGCGGGATGTGGCGGGACGTGTATCTGCATTAACACGAATTACTTCAAATGTTATTTGTTTTATGACACATAATGAACATACAAGGCTTTCAAACATTTTGCACATCTCCTGTGATTTAGTTTGAACAAATTTCCCTCACAGCTGTTAGACCTGTTAAATTAAAACGATCTAGTGTGAAACTAGCTCCACCCTCCATCTATCTGGCTCTGTGCCAAAAATTCTAAAAGTTTAAACATGCTTTTAAAAGTTCCCCACGACAGTGGAGTAGAACTTATATAGGAGACACTGATAAAAGAAGAAGGAAGCTTTGTGATCTACGAGGCCTCAAAGCTGATGTAGAGTTGGCCAAGAGGCTTTTGGACAGGTCCTTAATCCGACCCACCGAACAGCCTTAGAAAAAATTGACACTCCAGCTTCCTGCCGTAACCTGAAGATAACCCAGACTAGACGGGTGTAACGTGCCAAGTAGTCACATTTTCACCCACATACTGACAACAAAATAACCTTTCATTTGCAGACAGGAAAACAACATCTGTTTGGCCCCAAATCCAAAAAGGGCTCTGTCCCAGTTCTTGCTACAAGAAGCCATAAAATCTTTGCCCAAGGCCTGATGCAGACTGCTGCATTCCTCACTCTGAATAAAAGTTAACCTTCTTGAAGCTCCTACTAGGGTTGTCACGGTAACCGGTGTAGCTGTAAACCCCGGTAAAAAAGTTGACAATAATAATAACCGTCTTGTTTTTAAAAAAAATTACCTCGGTGGATTACCGTGGCTGCAGTGTAGGCGCGGTGACCCTTACCAGCCACCGTATCATCTGCTGAAGTTGCCGGCGGCACATGAGCACTTTGTTGTTTACAACCAAAACTTTCTTGAAGCTAAAGCTGAAATAATGGCCAAAGGAGGAGACGGCATTGCTCAGGACATTTATTATCCCTCAAAGAAGACAAAGTGGGAAGTACGGGCATCTTTTGGATATTTGAAGAACGCCGAGGGACAGTTGATAGAAGACGGCTATCCTGTTTGCAGCACGTGCAGAAAAAGTGTCTGTGAAAGGCAGCAACGCTTCAAATCTCATGACACATCTGCGTGACCATCACCCACAACTCTACAGTCAACGCAAGGCAAGCTAACGTTAGCGTTTTAGCTAAAATGCGTGATCCGAGGATTTGGGCTGAGGGAGAATGCAATGAGTCGCTATATAAAGCAGCCGCAGCGCCGCTACCTGCATATAAACCGTGTCGCGGACACCGCCATGTTGAAATGACGCTATGCATTACGGGGCTCCCAGGGGCAGATAAGAGTTGGTCTCTCTCCGAGAATAATTATGAATTTAACAACGATTACTGCCTGATGACATTTTCCCACATCTGCAAAGCTCACTGGAAGGACACAAACCGAGGACAACATTTTCCTGATATAGGGTTTATTACTCAAGTAAGGGTAAAAAAGTATCTGATTAGAAGGCTACTTGAGTACTGAGTATCATCTGATGTAATATTTTTAAATGATGACAAACAGCCAAAAAATAAGAAGTTATGGGCAAATATTTGTATTTTAAAGACTAAAGGGCAAAAATGTAAACAAATAAACAACATAATTACAAAATAACACATTTTAGGCAAAATTTAGACACAAACTGGGTACCGAATTCTGTACTTTTTAAGGTACCGACCGAATTCCATAGTACTGACCGAGCACCGATTCACGTCATTTGAAACGGTGCCTCGTTTCGGTGCCCGTCCTTCATAACGAGAACTTGCCTAGACAGCTGCGCATACGCAAGAGCGTTATGTTGTCGGTCGCTGTGAGCCAGTTGTAAACAGAGCAGCATGGTAGAAAGAACGCACGCTAACGCTTGGGTCCACTTCACTAAATGTGATGGGTAACTGGGTGAAGATGAAACCAGCGACAACGATCTAAGTGAGACATCCTCATCTTAATCTGCTCCGGTAGGTAAATAAAATGTTTAAGATAACGTTAGCTTGATTTGTTAGCTTCCGTTTCGCTAATGGTGCGTTCGCTTTCTCCTCGGAACTCCGAATTTCCGACTGGAAGAACATGAGCGCGCTCTAAAGTTTGGCTTCACTTTACAACGATCTAAGTGTGAGGCATCATCGTTTTAATCTGCTCCAGCAGCTAAATAAACTGTTTAAGATAAAGTTAGCTTGATATGTTAGCTTCCATTGCCACCGTTTTTATCAGCTAATGGTGCGTTCGCTATCTCCTAGGAAATTCTAACTTCCCAGTAGGAAAAATCAAATGAAAAAAGATGGCAAAAGGAATGAAGATACACAGTAAATTTAGTTCACAATAAATATGTTTGCATCAGTTTAATGATAAATGATAAATGACCCGCACTTGTATAGCGCCTCTCAGAGTAAGGACTCCAAAGCGCTTTACACTACAGTGTATCATTCATCCATTCACACACACATTCACACACTGATGGTGATGAGCCACGATGTAGCCACAGCTGCCCTGGGGCGCACTGACAGAGGCGAGGCTGCTGAGCACAGGCGCCACCGGTCCCTACGACCACCACCAGCAGGCAAGGTGGGTAAAGTGTCTTGCCCAAGGACACAACAGCAAACCACGCCCATACAAAACACGCCTGCGTGTTCAAAGACAAGACAAATGGAAGGTAAAGACTAGGGCTGCATGATATTAGGAAAACCTGCGATATTCGATAACAGTGCTTAATACTGCGATATCGATATTAGGGCTGCAGCTATCGAATATTTTTGTAATCGAGTACTCTATTGAATCTTTTTTTCGATTAATCAAGTACTCTAATAAATTACCCTTTTGTGTTTGTAAACCATTATATCAAATAGCATGTTATAAAATATGAAAGACCTGTCAAAATGAGCAAGCAATTGCCAGTTATTCTTCAAGTTTTATTCAAAATTAGTTTGCAAAACTTCAGCACTTCAACTTTACTTCAGAGTAAACAAATGGCTGTGCAAAAAATAAGTACACAACCTGAGCTGATTTTCCCCTCGTGTGAGAATCTACTAGCCTGCAAGCCAGACAAAAACTAGGAGGATAACTGCTGAAGTAGCGCTGCGAGCGGCTGCGGCCCAAACAGAACCAGAACCGCTCACGGTGCATGCGCAAACAGCTCGCCCCTGTTTCCTTATTAACACACGTTCGTTTTAATTTCTACACTTTTTCTCACACAATAACAAGGATTGTCGAGAAAGCATGTTTGCTGTGGTTTTGTCAAATTATACAGATCACAAAACATTTATTTACTTTCTTTCGTTTTCCTCATAAATACCCGTGTCCTCCTGCAGCGATCCCGGGGGACAACAAATATCAATAACAACACAATAAAAAGTCCGACATGTTGTGTAAAAACTGATATTTTTAGCACATTTTAAGTCCGACGTGTTGCTACCAGATGTACGGTGTGAGCTGAAACTGAGTGCTACAAACGAAAAAGTTGCACAGTTTCTGCAGAATATATAGAAATACAGGCTAAAATGCATTATCTTGTAGAGGCTCCGAGTCCGCTTGCAGAAGTGACATTTACAGGTGCTGCAGCATGGAGGATGTGCTGTTGTGGTAGGCTAAATCCATTTTACAGTATTTACACTGGACTACGTTTTCCTCCTTACGACGTGAAAAATGGTCCCACAACTTTGACATTTTCTGTCTTTTTCGCACTCCACCGGGGTCCACGTTGTCCACCATGGCTTAAGAGAAAGTTAAGTTACGTTCGCTACTCGCAGTCCAGTGGGCATGTGCGTCACTTATTTCGGTCCGGGTGAAACATGACCCCGTGCGATTGCAAAGCCATGAATTAATTAAACATGAATTAAACGAATCCTCGAGGCAGAAAGTTTGACTCGAGGATTTTTTGTACTCTAATTATTCGAGGTACTCGAGGAATCGTTTCAGCCCTAATCAATATTACTCACGATAAATGAACAAATACTAAAGTATGCAGTGTCGATGTCGTCTGGCGTGTGACGTCTGCTCTGGGTTCAAAGCAAACAAAAACTAATGCATGAATTCCATTACAACATAACATTTTTATTGCAAACATATGCAGCCGCACCCGCTACTGTAACAGCAGCTGCACCTGCTACTGTATTAGCAGCTGCACCTGCTACTGTATTAGCAGCTGCACCTGCTACTGTATTAGCAGCCGCACCCGCTACTGTATTAGCAGCTACAACTGTTGCTGTATTAGCAGCCGCACCAGCTACTGTATTAGCAGCTGCACCTGCTACTGTATTAGCAGCCGCACCCGCTACTGTATTAGCAGCTGCACCTGCTGCTGTATTAGCGGCTGCACCCGCTACTGTATTAGCGGCCGCACCTGCTACTGTATTAGCGGCCGCACCTGCTACTGTATTAGCGGCCGCACCTGCTACTGCATTAGCGGCCGCACCTGCTACTGCATTAGCGGCCGCACCTGCTACTGCATTAGCGGCCGCACCTGCTACTGCATTAGCGGCCGCACCTGCTACTGCATTAGCGGCCGCACCTGCTACTGTATTAGCACCTGCTACTGTATTAGCGGCCGCACCTGCTACTGTATTAGCCGCCGCACCTGCTACTGTATTAGCAGCTGCACCTGCTGCTGTATTACTGCACCTGCTACTTTATTAGCAGCCGCACCCGCTACTGTATTAGCAGCT